ATAATTATTGTTGTGTTAGTAGGGTCTTTCTGATTAGTATAAAAATTCTCATATTGTGTTTAATTCTTTGTTGAATCTTTGATTATTCAACTTGTAGTGTGTTCTGAGTTATTGAATGATTTTATTTCATTTTTCTACAATCTTGATTCATGGTGGTAATGTATTCAATGTTGTGTGCCATTGAATAACCAGAACGGAAATACCACAAATAACTTTGAACAATAAGAAAATGATTCATCCACAATGATATAAATTATAAAAATATCAATCACTTATTATTCAAATGAATGTTTTGTTAAAACAGGAACCAAAATAAGTAAAGAAATAATGAATCTAAATAAAAAAAACCACAAAAAAAGAAAAAGGGATAAAATATTTTGAATAAATAAAATAATAGTTTTTATTATTTTTTCTTTTTAAGAACAAAATAAAAAATAAAAAAGTGAATTGAATGTTCATTTTATATTCATTTATATTCATTTATATTTTATATCATTTGATGATCAATTGTTATGAAATATAAATGATTCAGAAATGATATTTGTTTCAATATATGTATACATTTTTATTATTATTTTATTTATGTATTTTATTATTATATATTTATGTATTTTATTATTATATTTATTTTTATTATTGTATTATATATCATCATATTATCTATATATTTTATATTTATCATGTTTTATTAGTTTTATATTCTTATTATTTATATTTTATTTTATATATTAATACACTTCTATTTATATATAATTTATTATATATTAATACATTTCTTTATCTTATTTTCATTTTGATTATATTTTTATATTTTATATCTATTTTCTTTTTATATTTATTATTATTTTATTTATATTATATTGATTTTATTTATATTTTCATTTATATATTTTATTTATTATTATATCATTTCTCTTATTATTTCTTTATCATTTATTATTATTTATTTAATTTTTATATCTTCTATATATATATCATATGAATTTATTATTTATTATTTATTACATATTATATAATAATCATATAATATTTATATTTGATTATATATTATATTTTTCTTCTTTTCTCTTCTTTTTTATATTATTTCATTTTTTATTTGAATATATTTGTTTCTGTA